ATCACTGTTCCAATATTATAACGTTTATATTCCCGTATGTCATGCTACATTGTCCTACCATCACTAACTTCAAGTGGCGATTTTCACACAGTTCATTTAAACCTGAAATATAAATGTCCACTATTTCCATGTTATCGGATGACATTTGTAGGCTCACAAATGTGATACAAAAGACTATGTGATCAAACAACGTCAAACTAATGTGATTGAAGTTTAGGTGAAAAGAGCAGAAGCAACTAAAATATCATACAAAAGCTTTTTTATCATATTTGCACAATGGACAGAGGCTTTAGCAAAACAGCCTAGGGAAAAAAGCTAAAAGCATATACTGCTAAGCAGAGAGAATTCATGTTCATTTTCATTGTGCGGTATTTGTCTTGATCAGATCATCTTATTGCCAAGGAAAACCAACCTACTCATCCATACCGTGCGTTTTTATAAAGCTATAGCCTAGTAAATCACAAAATTTTAATGCTTTGTTCAGTGGAATTATCAGTGCCTGTAAAACAAGTCTGTGTCTTGTTTCTAAAAAACTTCATTTTGCTTTTAAAAAATGATACACACTGAGGATAAAGAGGAACTGCCACTCCCTGTTACAAATATTTTAAAAATATAGCTGTACAAACTCACACAAACCAGAACTTAGCATAATTTAAACAAAAAGGGAATAAATCCCTCTTCCCACTTCATTATAGATCAAATTCCCTACACCAGATTCTGTGTTCCACTCTGGTCCTTTTACTCTGCTTCAGTGGCATATTGGATCTGCTGCAAGTACTACAGCAAGGCAAATTAGGGAAAGGAGTTTGGTCAGAACAAAATGCACTCTAGCTGTTCTTGACTGATAGAACAGCCCCTCAAGCCAAGCATAGATTAGAGCAGCCTTGAGACTGCTCTCACTCTACCTCAAGAACCAGATAGGTCCCCAGATGGCCCCAGAATATGGAGAGACAGAAAAGCCACTTTTGCCCCCAAATTCCATTCCTGTACTGAGCAGAGCTCAGGAAGCATGGAAAATCTAATCTCTTGAAATGAGGGAATCAGATTTTGCCAAGTACGAGCTTGCATTTACCTCAAGAAGCAAATTCCCATTTACTACTCTGATTAAAATGAGGGTCCCTCTTTATTCCTAAGGAGCCAGTCGCTACATAAAGCAGGTTGCAATTTCCCCCAGATTGCAAGTCGCATGTATTTTCTCTCTTAAAATATAAAAACTGGTACATAAAATGGACCAATTTTTCTCCTTAAAAGCCAGATCATTGTATTAGATCTGCACCACAAAGCTGCCTTATGACATAATGCACAACATTTAATTTTTCATCCAACCAGCAGTTTTGTTCACGTAAAGAAAAGGAAGTGCACTATGACTTCCTCCACATGTGTTGGCAGAACCACACCAGCTTGTGTGCCAAGGATTCATGTGGTGTATGTAGGTATGAGACAGCAGAGCCTAGTGGCTAGAGCATTGGATAGGATTCAAGGTTCAATTCCAGGCTCTATCATTGGCCTGCTAGGTGATCGTGGGCAAGCCACTTCCTTCCTGTTGCCTCAGTTTCCCCATTTCTAAAATGGAGATAATAATACTGATCTCCTCTCTAAAACACTTTGAACTCTAAAGATGAAAAGTGTTATACAAGAGGTAGGTACTGTTATTATTATGCTTTTAATATCTGCATCCTTCACCATTCAATTTCTAAGATTTCAGGCCGGGTGAAGAGATGGCAGCCATTTTGTTCTTAGAATTATTGCAGCTTGTCACACAGATGACAAATCTCTCATGAAGACTTGGGTGGGGGAAGGAGTTTGGTTGCTGTTTTTCTTAATCTAAAAAATAAATGTTATTTTAGATTGAGAGCATGTCTTGTTCTTAATGTACAGAAAATACAACTGCTCAGACACAAAGTCAGCCTGCTAAACCCAAACTGTAGTACACTTTATGATGGCACCCAGATGAAATAGCTATTCCTGAGTAATATGCAATGCATCTTACAGTTCGGCACATGACCTCCTCATAAATACACATAGCTGACATCAGTGTTCCAAGAACCATTCTAATAGATGAATGAGACAGGAAGAATCACTGATGACATTGGTTGCACTGCATGTGTCTAGCTATAATACTGTGACTGTGCAAAGCCATTATTAGCACATAATCCCAACATGATTCATGAAACAATGAGCCTTCAGTTGTAACCAGACTGGTAGCAGCTCCCCAAGTAAACAGCAGCTGGACATTGCTAGCAAGCACCATAGCAAGGAAGACAACATAAAATTGATCTTTGGGGTAAATAAAGACGCTCCATTGACAACAATGTGAAAAACCAGCAAAACATCAGAGATTTGGTTTCCAGGAAAAGCAGATCTCACATGCATAAAAAAACCTCTTCACTTTTTCATGCAAAGAAAAACTGCTTGACTCCAAAATGGCCATGAAATTCTCTGCAAAAAAAGGCAATATTTTCCCCTGAGGCAAATCCTCTCAAAAATCTTAGCTTTACAAAGGAAAAGAGTGTTGCTTTGAGCAGATCTTGTTCAGGTGTTTACACTGCCTGGAGGTGCCCCCTACAGTGTGCATCAGGGGTAGTCTACCAGGTGTTTATTGATTCATGCATCACCCTCAAAAAGAGAGGTGACCGAAGAAGATGACAAGATTCAGAAGCAGAAAGAGAGGCATTAATCATCAGAACAGGGGGAAGTGGAGAGCACTGTTTTCAGAAATGGTTTCTTTTCTATAAGCATTTCTTCAGTAAGAGCAGTAATAATTCCATTCTCCGTTCTTACCACTGAAGCTGTTTATTCTCCACTATGATGCGTTGGATATGCCAAGAATACTACAGCAAGGCAAATTTATTTAAACCACCCTGGTTTTCATCTTCTAAGTGTTGCTCCTCCTGCAAGGTATTGATTAAGCTTTCTCCCTTCTCTGTCTGGAACCTGCTAACACCAATATTTGGAGCGCCTTCTTCACTCTCCTCGCATGCGTTGGGACCAGGGCTCTTTTCTGGCACCTGGTGCCTCCACCCAATGAAACGACTCAATGTGGCATATACACAGTGGTGCTGTCTCTTGACAAAATCTATACAACTACTGGCTGGCAAGAAGCGTGCAGTCCAGTATGCAGGGGACAATAAATGAAACAAACCCCAGCCAAGGAATACACACCAAAAATAATACAAAGGGGACTTTACTGGGAATAAGAAAATAGGATCTGAGGAAGGAAAGGATTATGGTTAACTAATACTGTAATAAACATTAATACATAAACCAATTCACCACCTCTCGACATTAACAACTCCTCCAAACCCCAGCCCCTTCCCTGGCACGCTCCTGAGGCAGATGGTATGCTGAGGTTGAATGTTTTGGGACGGAGCGTCGCAGCACTGTGGCATTGGCCAGCTTAAACAAATGTCCCTTACTTTATCCTCCCCTCCCCCACCCTGGGTGGGGGGTTCTCTCCTGACTCCAACCAGGGTTGCTGCTCTCAGGTCTGGAACCCACCTGTGTCTCAGCTGGCTCTAGTAGCTGGAGCCAGATTAGATCTTTCTGTGTCACTGCTGGATGCTGGTCTCCGCAGTGCTGGAACTGACTGAGCCATGTAACTAGAAGAACTCCCTTTGGGAGGAGTGGGAGTTTAGCAAGAATTCCATGAGCTCCAAACTGAAACTCAGCTGCCTGTCCTTTTTGTCAAGTTAGGCTGCCTTCTCACTGAGGGCTGTGCAGAAACCACAGCAGGGGTTTCTAGTTCCGTCTGTCCCCACCCCTGACTCCAAGCATGCTGAGAAATGATGTCAGAGGGCTCAGGTAGCCATCTTAGTTGTAGTCCTTTTGGGGCCCCTTGGAGTCTCGGTCTGTGGCTCCAGGAGCAGGCAAACTCCAAGTGTGGGTTACATAAGTGCATTACAAACACTTACTATTAAGAACTTCATCCTGCTCCCACTGAAGTGAATGAAAGTTTTGTAATGGACTTCAGTGGGAGCAGGATTAAGCCCCTAATCGTCATAACACCCCTCTGAGGTAGGTATTACTGTTCCCATTTAACAGAACGGGAAACTGAGGGAGACAGGGTAAGGGCCAGATCCTCAGCTTGTATAAAATAGTGTAGTTCTATTGAAGCCAACAGCACAATAGCAATTTATACCAGCTGAGGATCTGGCACTAAGCCTCTTGCCAAGGGCAACAGATGTCAGAACTGCATTAGAACTCAAAGGTCCCTAATCAAGAACACAAGACTACATCCCTCTCTTCAGGACACGTGAAAACAAGCAATGCAAGTTACTCCTGAAGCAGAGTGTGCTGGAATCCAAAAAATTACTATCTTCATGGCTGGAACACTTCTAGCACTTCCATTTCTCTGACTATTATCACTGGGCTCATACTATTCAGTCTTGCTTTGACATCACTGGATGATTGATAGGTTTGAATGAGCAACTTGCAACTAGTTGGTAGGAGCTGTAGCATCTTCACAGACCTCCCTACTTGCAGCCTGCACATCAAATTCTTGAATGAGATTCTGAATTGCTTTCCAAAGTAATTTTCTAAGTTACAGTAGCTTTTTACATACGCAGCCAGATTTCACCTCCATAGCCCTCAAAATATTTTAAGAATAAAGCATATCATGTGGCCTAATCACCTGTAGTCTGTGTTCTTGTTCCTAAAAATACATACATTCATGACCAAACATACAGTATTTGTTTAAATAATGTGTATTGGTATCAGCTGCATATGCTTGCTCACCATCAAATTTTAAATCAACCATTTGTCTTTTGAATTATAAGGGAGAGATCTTTAAATTGATGACAGCCCAGCTGTAATATTGCAAACATTTCATGCATAAAACAAAACGGGTAAAGCTTTTGTTTCCACCAGCACAGGTTCTGTTTTTTCATTTGGCTTTGGGTTTTTTGGCCATCAGTGAAAACCATGTGCGTACTCTACAATCACAATATGCTAATGCCATTATATAAACAGATGGAAACCCTCACATTGAATGATGTACTCACCTCCAACTCAAAAATCACACAGAAACTGAAAGGATCCAGACAAAGGCAAGAATTGGAGGCATAGAAAGACTTCAGGACTTCCACATGAGGAGAAAGTAAAAATATTAGGACATCTGGTGAATACTTATGCTGAAAGCACCTGCAGCAGAATGGCACCTGCAAAGACACACAGGTAACCATTTAGGCTTTATAACATAGGTCAAAACTAACACCTTAAACACCTGGAAACTAATAGGAAGCAAATGTAGATGCTGAAGCACTGGTGTCATGTTCCTGGTGAGATATGCTACCTGCTAATTGGGCTGCTGCATTCTGTGCCATCTTTAGTTTACAGGTGTACCTCATGTAAGATGACATAGACATGAATTACACTAGAAATGTTTACAGTCAAAATAAATGGTTGTAAATTCTAGATGGGATAAAAAGCCTTTCTGCACACTTCTCCTATATGCTCATCCAACAGCAAGGAATGGTCCAGCAATACCCCCAGATTGTGAACTCTAGTAAAAGATGGCAGGCCCACACCCCTCAATTAAAGGCTCAGATATAATCCATGCCACGTCTTTCTGCTGATTCTCCAAACCTAACAGTACCTCAGCTACCCATCATCCATGTCCTAATATTTACCAAACACTGGGTAAAGCTTAGGTGAGACAGACAAAGAGAGCTGTGTTGTCATCAGCATATTAAGAATACTGTAACCCAGGCCTCCTCACTCACCTTTCCAATGTACTGGTTGAACAGAGGAAACAAAATGGAACCTGAAAAACCCCACAAGAGAAATCATTCAGTGCAGAAGAGCAATTGCCCCAATCTACATTCTGGGTTCCCTCTGAAAGAAAAGAATAAAGCCACCGAAGGATGACCCCCATCTACTTCTGCTAGCATTCACAGGTGAATTAACAGCATATTATGATTAACGATATTGAAGGCAGCAAATTGAAGAAAGGGCACCTCACCTTCATCTGTTGCTAGAAAGAGACTAAAGTTACCAGTGTAGACTTTGTCCTCTTCTCCCTGTGTGCAGGTTTACAAAGGTCAAGATGGTCTGAGGCAGCCAGATATTCAGAGTTGCCTCAGCTCAGTCTTCACAATGAACTCATCCAAAAATGGAAGACTAGACACTGGACAACAACAGGACAGACTGTCAGCAGCAATGTTTGTCTGAGCCATAATCAGATACCAATTTGCTTAACAGAAGCTAGCAACTTGTCGTTCTTAATGGAGGCATTAACAATCTGGAGAAGCAATAAACCCAGTCTTGCCCTACTGGCCTTCATCAGCCAAAAAACACACAAATATGAAGCAGAGCTGTGGCACAAAGAATTTGCAACACTACTATCACCTCAGTGAGTGGCATCAGCCTGCACTCATGGAGAGGACTTAGCATTTCTTCCCTCAAGATATTTCCCTGCATCCAAAGAAAAAAACAGTTCAGTCTGAATCTGCTCAATCGGATCCACAAAGGACCATGAAATTTCCTCACAATGGGAAGAACTTGTATCAGCCGCTGAATGGAGACAGCTTGGATTGACCACATAAAACAAATCTGCTGACTGAGACCTAGCAGAACTATGTAGAGGCAGAGAAACTGTTCTTTGCCTCCTGAGCAACAGCAGCATAAGATTTAAAACAAAACAACAAATCCTTTATGGTACAATCTGATTTGGCTTGAGACTTCAGGCACCACAACTCTACTCATTTTCCCTCCAGCTTCACTTGTTTCAAGTCAAGGTGGCCTGTGAGGATGGAAGACTGAGAAAAGGATACCTAGGGGCGGCTTCATCATTAGTTGAAGACAAAAGACTATATTAATACTGTTCTACCAACCCATCCATTGATTGGTCTCTTGAAGGAACAATGTTCCCCCACAGAAGCCTCTGAAACTGCTCAGGTATCACCGAGAAATGATGGTAAACCATCAAAACAATTCCCATTTCCCTAGGTAATGGGAACGGGGACCAAAATATAAATTACAGTGCAGTTTGAATAAAATAAAAATGGACCAAACTCCCTTGAGCTAACCTCAAATAGAAAGGTTTGCCAAAGTACTGTTTAAAAACAAGGCTATTTTCAAGTTATTTCTGACAGATCTGAAACCAGGAGGAACTGGCAATCTGATATGGCAGCTTTTGATTCCAAGTCCAGATCTGCAGCATGATTTTCAGTTGCCTTTGTGCTCTCAGCCATTTGAGGGGAGGCTGACCTTTGAGTGATGTTAGTATCTCTCAGTGTTGCATTACCTTTAATTTTGAAATCAATTTTTGCACCATCATAAAACCCATGCTTCTTCATGAGCCCCTCCTGCTATTGCATTTCCATACCCACTTCTGAAATCTGTTTTGAAGTGAAGTTGTAAAGATGTGAAATCGAAGGTTTCCTGGAAGTTCTACAGCCCAATTGCTTCATCATGTCATCAAGTTGTCTGATCAGCAGAGATGGCCAAACTGCAATTCACAGATCAAAATCCAGTAAAAAGGTGTGGCCTGTGGAGAACACAGATTCCATGCAGTCATCCAAAGGCTACATCTCCCTATAAAACACAAAGGCTGCAATATGGTCCATCAATTAGCTATGGCTCTAGGGCTCCTGACAAGCTGCCAGTGCCGCTATTGGTCAGGTGAAGCGTGGGCATTGATGTGAATCTTGGGCATCCAGTGACAACCTGACAGGTAGGAGGATTCTAGATTCTAAGCTAATGCATATTTGGGACAAGCTATTATACAGCCTAATGTCTCATTCAACCTGGCTGAAAAAAAAATATTAGGCCCTCACTGAAAACCAGATACCACAACTGAGTTGAACATAACACACACAATGTTCCACGCAGTAGCTGTGAAGTTCAGTTATACTGTGAAGCTAGTTATGACTGATATAAACATTTGAACAGGACTTTGTGAAAGTGAAGGTTTAAGTTTGTTGGGTGGCTGGTTTCTAAGGCCATGTACACATGACAGAGATTCTAGCAGAATAGCTGACATAACCTTGTAGAGTAGATGCAGCCTGCACTGAGAGAAGGAGTTTTTCTGTTTGTGTTGGAACACCACCTACCCGAGCGATGGTAACTGGGTCGACAGAAGCTACTTTGCCCAGAGGTGTGGATTTTTTTTACACTTCTGAGCTATGTAGCTATGTCGACCTAAATTTTAAGTGTAGACCAGGCCTAAGATGGAAGTAGGTATCTTATGCATCTCTACCTCTCTGGAAATGATTTTAGTCCATGGTGATAGTCACTTCAGTTATTTCAGTTATTTCAGTAATTGCTTTGAAGTTAGCTTCCAACATTTGCAGCCATTTGCTGCTGTCCTTTGCTTCTGGCCTCATTAATGCTTTTCCCAGTTCTTTTTGTTCTCCAGTCCCAATTTGTCACCACAGTTATGGCATGATTTGTCTGCTCCAGAATCTACTTTTTCTCCCATTGTGTTTGTTATTATTTCACATAATAAAAAATCCTCTCCGCTTTTCCACCTTGCATCCAATGAGGTTGTTATGGATAACAGATTCTACAATGCAGATAGAGTTTCATTTAACTGCTTTTTTTCCTATTCTACCATGCAGAGACATAACTGTCTTTTAAGTCTCTCTTTATTCTTCCTATCTATGGATGGGAAAGATTCTGTTTGATCCTGAGATTGCTGTAGTGACTAATTAATTATTTGCCCATTTGGGTGTACATTATCCTCATAATAATTTTTGGCACTTATCAGTTGGTGGCAATGTTAATTGTTCTCTTGTTGTGCCGATATATTTGAAAGCATGGTATCCACAAGAAATGATGGAAAATACGTCATCTGTAGCAATAAAAATGCAGTTGGGGATATGGAAGTGGTTCAAGCTTATAACAGCAGCATGGCCTAGCAATCAGAGCCTGGAACTAAGAGTCAGAAGGTGTGAGTTATGTTCCTGGCTCTGATATGACTGAGTGGACAAGTTACTTAACCTTTTTGTGCCTTGATTACCCCCATGTGTTAAGCAAGGACAATACAGCCTATTCACCTTTATATAGCTCTTTGAGGTCTATGGCTGAAAAGCATTATATAAATGCTAAGTATTATTAATTATTATTATTATTATTATTCTAAAGCATTCACTAGTATTTCAGCATTTAGCATCAAGTGATGTTTTGTTCCAGAGCTATGTGACCTGGCAAAGTACATGGCTGCAGACCCACGGACAAACGCTGATCTTCCGATACTCAAGGAAGCAAGAACGGCTATCCATAAGTTACAGAATGGATGTGCCACTGGACCTGATAGTACTCCACCCTCACTGCTCAAAGGTGCCTTGGAACCAGTAATCACTGGCCCGCATCAACTGTTCTTAAAAGTATGGGCATCAGGCTAAGAACCAGCAGAATGGAAAAATGGCATTATAGCTTCCCTGTGCAAGGCAAAGGATCTCACACTGACTGTGGCCATGACAGGCCGACCTCATCATCTGTTCTTACATTCTGCTTTGGAAGATGCAGCCATTCCTTTAAAGACATCATCAAGTAGTCAACTATGGACACCTTCCTTCCCTCCGATTCTCGGCTGAGCCCCACCAAGAATTTAATCACCTGTCTCATGTAGCATTTATCAACATCAAAGCAGCATTTGATTTGGTTGACAGGTCAGTGCTTTGGCTTGCACTGAAAGTTGGATCTTAAGAATCACCCTGCAGATATTGATCTTTGTCAATTTCCTTCATGCATTTTTGCCCTTTGAATCAGGACATCTATATATCTGACTGTAAGAATCTTCAGAAATGGGTTGAAAATAAACTGGAATCATTTAGAGATATGATGTTAACAAATCTTAACAAAATCTCACCTTAATGGCGCCTTTCAAAATTTTTAAACATTCTTTCCATTATTTGATCATTGAGATTACAGTATGGGAATTGATTCATTGTATAAAAATAATTATAAATCCCATTAAAACAAATGGAAATAGACTAAAAACGCTGGAAGCAGTTACTCCTGTCCCCAGTTGAAAGAATGTAATTTGATTAAAATGGCTAGATCACCAAAGCGCTTGGCCTCTCCAGATAAGGAATTACATTTTTACTTTTTGGCAGCACAACCACAATTTTTAATGAAAGATGCGATTACTGGATAGTACTGATTGGAGGGAGGCAACACACGGTGTCTGATTACAGCAAAGAGTACATAAAAA